TTTTTTAACCTGAATAATATCAACAATAAATGTTCGGAGAGAAAAAAAAGACAACAAGGTCAAACACGGCGCAGGAAGTTCTTTCTCTGACAGAGATGTTCCACGAGCCCAGCTGGCTACATGGAGGATTACGTCGACTTGTGCCAGTTAAACCCTTGAAAGAGGAGAGTAGCTGGCTCAGTGACGCCGAGACCCCAACCTGTTCAAGGCTGCTAGACGATGTAATCCACGCTCCAGACGATCGATGCGGGTTTTCCTATGGCCCGATTACTGAATGGAACACGGTTCGGACTCTCCAAAGCAGCAAAAATCCCTGCAGACTTGTTGAGTATATCATCGTCGCCGACGATGCTCTCCTCGCAATATCGAAGGCGGGGCGTAGGAGTCAAAATCCCGTTTCTTGGGCTTGCTAGACCTCGTCTAGTTTTTCTGATTAGATGCTTATCTCTATTCTCTGCTCTCATTTTCTTTTGAACAATCTCAAGTCAATCTAACCACCCGCATGTTGTTTATAAGAAGAATCAAAGCGAAGGCTCAAAACACTCAATGCAGCATGAATCGAGATCGCTCAGATTAGCGATTATAAAAAAGAGAAATGGTGATATCAAGATCGACTTTCAATCATTCTCGGAAGAATATATAATTGGAAGAGTACGAAATTGAGTTAAACAGCTGTAAAACTTCGCCATTCTCGTTTTCCTCAGTGTACTTCAAACACTCCCAGACAATGCGGAGCAAAAACCAAGCATTAATGAATGATAGAAAATACCATAACCAGGTTAGGAAAAGTCATCAAGCATACAATTCCCTGTCCTCTTCGTAGCATCGGATAGAGGAAAAATGTCGAACTTCTTTCTATTAATACCGAGTTCCCTAATCTTCCCAACGAGAATTTCATTTGAGCTATTACACAAACGTATTCCAAAGTACGTCCTAGAAAAATGTCACTGGATCAACAGAGTACGCCAGGATGTAAGCACCCTCACCAGAATGACAAGCGGTGATATTAGGAGAGGAAGACAAAGCAGGCTTCAAGAAAAAAAAGCAGAAATCCAAAACGAAACAAAAATTAAAGTAAAAGATAACCTTTGCGCTTGGAGGCAGTATTGTTCGAAAGAATTTTCGCTATAGAGTCGGCAAGAAGTGGCTTTTCTGCCACCATCAATACCGTGGCACCCATTGGACGGGACCTATCAGAGGAGATCACTACGCAAGAAAAACACTTCCACTAAAAGCAGACGCTTTTATAGAACTTCTATCGCATATTCCACATCAAGCTGTAGGCGTGAAAAATTTGGATTTAGACCTGTACTCAGCAGATACCGCAACTAATAGCAAATTGATTTACCTATGCAATTTAACAACATCAAAAACAACAACAGCCATCATTCTGACGGAACAAACACGTATGAAACTACAAAAAATAACAAAATAACAACGCTAAGGATCGATTTGATCACCTAAAAGATGCTGCAGTCGACTTTACTGGTGGCCATTCGAATTCCACTTTTTCAACGTCGAGGTCGAGAATGTCTACTTCCCCTTCAGAAACACCAAGAAGTTCTGCCATCGAGGGCCGGGTCCGGCCAAAATCTCCATGCACAAATTCCTTCACATATGTTCCAGCCTGGGTTTCTATCCTGAACAACAACTGCAGTAGCAACTAGAGTGTATTGAAAAAATTTCTGAAGTTCTATTGAAAAAAAGTGGCAGACTTCAAGCAAACAGAAAAGTCAACCTTGTTCATGACATTTCACTGAAAAAGATTGGAAGCAGGGTCAACCCTACGTTGTTACGAGTAACAACGGGGGGTCGTACTCAGTTGAGCTTGGAGGGGGGGGTCGTACCCTCTCGGTGGCCGACAGTGGGATTCTTGGTAATATCGGATAATAGCCAGCACGTTACGTTTTCGTAAGATGACTGATACAGCATCTATAAACCACGATTCCCTCTAAATGAGCTTTCAAATGAATCAGCGAATTAGAAGGGCGCCCGAGGCGTGTGGCGCGTACCAAGGCAAGGGATGTAGTGCAAGCGCATGCTCGAAGCTTTCTAGCACATCCTAAGTTGAACATAAACATTGGTCTTCCAAGAAGTTACGGGCAGTGAAACCTAAGAAAACTCGCGTTTTCGAGAAAATGGCTTGAAGAATACCCCCAAAATAAAAAGTAACAACGGGACTAATTTTTGAACTGCTGATCTTTCAGGAACGCTTGGGTGCTCGTTAGAAAGCTTGAAACCTGTAGTTTATTATACCGTGTTCAGCTTCCCAAATGAATGACTTTGAAGGAAGTTATGATCGTTTGAAGGTCAAAAAGTCGCGGTTCCAAAAAAATAGTAACGCAAACCCCCAAAAAAGTAACAACGGGACTAATTTTTGAACTACTGATCTTTCAGGAACGCTTGGGTGCTCCTTAGAAAGCTTGAATCCTGTAGTTTATTATACGTGTTCAGCTTCCCAAATGAGTGACTTTGAAAGAAGTTATGATCATTTGAAGGTCAAAAAGTCGCTTTGCACAGAAAAAAGTAACAACGTACTAAATTTTTATTAAATTAACTTTCGAAGAATTTTTACCTATGGTTGGAGAGAGAATAATTTGAATTTTCCAAATCAAATCACTTCGGCGCTGAAGCTCGAATATGAAGGAAGTTATAGCCTTAGAAAGAGGGGTGTAAAAATTGTGTTGCAATTGAAGAACGTGAAGGATTTCAGTATTTCAATTGGAGCGATAATTTTTTCTGACTTCTTATAAGTTTTTATCAGGTAATGTTGTCAATATTACGGTCACTGGTTCAGCTTATTTCATCTCCTAGTTTGGTAACCCTTTGGAGTACACGGATATCTTTGAATGCATCTCATTTTTTCGTGTTTGCAAGCAGCGATGAATTTCTGTCGTGGATTTTGCTAAAGTTTCATCTTTAATGACTTACGTAGAAATAAATATTGATGGTAAACACTGTCTCTACACAAGTGTCACATACAAAGGGGGGTCGTATCAAATCACCCATGAAGGGGGGGGGGTCGTAAAAAATTTCCGAAGAGTAACAACGATAGGGTTGACCCTGCTTGGAAGTGTTCTTCAAACGGAGAACCTCGGAATAAATGCGTAGAGAATCCACTCGCAGTATATCCCATACTATAAACCGTACGCGGTCGATCCAGCAAAGCTCTCCGCTTCAAGACTCTAACAGGAGTTTTCTGGATCACTTGAATTGGGACTTGTTTCATAGCGTTATTGAGCATCTCATCAGATATAGGCAGCAGTACTGTAGCAATATGCCAACATAGTGTTTCTTTCTCTGCGAATTTTATTCGCAATACTACACGTATAACGTGTGCTAAACACTGGACGAAAACATTGTAAAAAAACAAACAGCAAAAACCAACAAACAAACATAAACGAAACGATATTTATTCTGTTTACAAATTTAACTTACCTTCCTCTCCAACGCTAAGGCTTTCAGCTTCCTCACGCGTGACTCTGGTTAGATATTTCACGCATATATCCTTTTGCTTATTAATCTCCTTCTCGAGATCACGTAACGTATTTTCATGATCTGTTCTAAAATAATTAGAGTATGGCGTTTAAATCAAATATAGCACCTTCCCACTCTAATAAGGAAAAGTATTTAGAGACCCCATTTAGCGGGAAAATAATAACCCTTGACTCCTTCAACTTCGGATATTGGTGCAGTATGTAGACGGTTTTGTTTGTAAGTTGACAAAATCTGGAACGACCTACCCCTTGAGTGAATTGGTAAAGCGGCAGTTCCGTAATTCAACAGCAAACGGCCGACCATCTCCCAACATGCGCACGTCTAAGTCTTCCCTTCCGGAGGCAATAAATCGAGCCTCAGACGCACCGAACTTATTCTTCATGGGGTCGCAAATCTTTTCTGAAACCTGAAAATTCGTCTGACAATACGACTTGTTTATTCACACCATTTTTTTACTTCACAAAGTGCAACGGAAATTTCCAGAATGAACCCAGTTTGGGAAAGAGAAATGAATTCTGAAGAACAAACCGAGTTTCCTGGTTCTCTTGGAGCAGTTTTTTCTTCAGCTGACCAGGGCGACTGCGGTAACAACCGTGAATACTTGCAGTACCTTCCGGCAATGAATACAGGGTCACGCTCCAACGACAGCGTGAAAGAGCACGGGCGAGTTGGACTACACAGCTTGTACTTCCTGAAGCAGGTAAATAAATTCGTTTTGGAAAAGCATTTGACTCTTCTTAAGAACTTAATAGCAACAGAAGAATCTATGAAAAAAAAACCGAAGCTAGATATGTGTTTCACTGCTTAAATGGCTCTGGTAAAGATTTTATCAGACATAGGAAGAGTGGGAAGAGTGCGACGGTTAGGATGAGAAGACAAGGAAAGATATGGAAATTTATGTAAGACTGTACTGTAAAAAATTAGGGGTCGCAAGTCACATAACCGACAAGATAGGATTCTCAAATTCAGGGAAATACTGCCCACTATCACTGTTCCTCTCAGAATAACGAGAAAATCTTGGAAAACTTGAGGTTGTTTTGCCTTTGCCCCGACCATGACTTTGAAATGAGCGGATTGATTGGAAGAAGGCAACGAAGGTGAATCTTCACGTCCAGTTAGACGATTTTTTACGATAAATTTAGTAGATGGGCTCAAAGGGATGGTCAACAATGGATTCCAACGATTACTGGGGTTCAATAGTTCGTCCTTCCAACAATAATCAAATTTTGCAGTAGTCCGAGATGGTGAACAGATTTTCCGTGTGTGGAAGGAATAGTGACGTAATAACTTCGTATAGCATACATTATACGCTTTGTTTCGTCCCCGTTTGCTCAACTTGGGCAAAGCTCAAAAAGTGTCTGATGTACTATATTAGATGCTGGCCTCACATGTAATCACCTCACCAATTATACCATTGACGAACAAAATCAAATTTGTGATCCTTTACCAAAAAACGACAAACCTCCATTATATCTCCCAATACCCAGTGTGACCAGCCGTTTTGTCCGTCGCGCTTACCCTTCAACCGGGAAAAAAAGAGAGCCAGATGGAAAGTTCAAGTTGTCATGGCGTCCCGATGCTAAGCTTTGCAGTTACTGAAGCTTGATCGTTTTTTTCGCTTTTATAGCTCTTGTGCCAAAATTTAGGACTAATGTCTCGGTAACAAGGGTATATCAGACATTTTTCGGCGGGGCGACTTTAGTTGTGAGGTGACTTCAGTGAGCAGATGTGGCAGGATGCAGACGGCGGTCCTGACGATAATTCATTTTCCGCCGTCAATGTTTTCTTCTGCGCTCGATTGATACGAAGTTCTTAGTGTCTTTTGACTTGTTTGTTGTTTGTTAACTGCTGTTTTAACGCCGCAGTTCGCGTTGCGAATGTTTCACAAGAATGCTGGGTTGTGAACAAAACTTTCGCCCCAGGCGGGACTAGAACCCGCACCTCTCGCTTTCCGGGCAAGTGCGCTACCAGTTACGCTACCGGGGCACCATTTTCATTCCAACTCAGCTTTTGGTATACAGAGGAGTTTAAGTTTGTTCAACCCAGCATATCTTGGATTTGGTTGATTTTTTTTGGCTAGAGCGATGTTTGTACCATATTTTTATTGAGTTATTTTCGGGAAACGTGTTCCGATTAATGTAGTCGTTTTATATCTCGCTATTGTTAAATATGGTTGTCTTTCGCAGGTATGGCGGCAAAGCAGGGCCAGGAGGCTATGAAGAAAGCGCTTCAGAACGCCAGAGGTGCGGGTGCTGGAATAGGATTGATTGCCGCAGCAGGAGTTGCTGTCTATGGAATTTCCCAATCAATGTTCACCGGTATCCCTTAGTTTGATATCGTTATATTTTGTCAATTTCTATGTGTGCGTTTATCTTTCCCTAGTCATACTTCACTTAATCACTGCCACTCAGGAGGGTCTACGGACAGCTTGAACTCAGTCCTTCAAACCGCCACGATTCGATGCTCTCGCCTGCGCATTCTCGTTTAAACAGCGGCTCACAAATACTGTGCATTGAAACATCAAATTTACCAATTTAATGAGCTCACCTATCGGAGTCTCTCTCGCTCCAAGGCTGCGATCCTTGACTGACTTTACTTCATCTTGGGATTTGAATCCGAGCCAGGCGCCATTCTCTGATCGTCTGCGCTCTGGCTTTTTGCGGTAGAGAACATAGGGGAGAGTTCAAGTAGTCACGTAATCTCAGGGCAAGAGTGGACCAGGGTCAACCCTACGTTGTTACGAGTAACAACGGGGGGTCGTACTCAGTTGAGCTTGGAGGGAGGGGGGTCGTACCCTCTCGGTGGCCGACAGTGGGATTCTTGGTAATATCGGATAATAGCCAGCACGTTACGTTTTCGTAAGATGACTGATACAGCATCTATAAACCACGATTCCCTCTAAATGAGCTTTCAAATGAATCAGCGAATTAGAAGGGCGCCCGAGGCGTGGCGCGCACCAAGGCAAGGGATGTAGTGCAAGCGCATGCTCGGAGCTTTCTAGCACATCCTAATTAAACATAAAATTGGTCTTCCAAGAAGTTACGGGCAGTGAAACCTAAGAAAACTCGCGTTTTCGAGAAAATGGCTTGAAGAATACCCCCAAAATAAAAAGTAACAACGGGCTAATTTTTGAACTGCTCTTTTTAAGAAACGCTTGGTGCTTTTTATGTAGCTTGAACTCTGTTAATCCTGTGGTTTATTTCTATCGGTCACTCCAATGAATGGCTTTGAAGGAAGTTATTTGATTCTGTTTTTGGTATAGGTGTCATTAAATTTCGTGGTCCATATACTTTGGAGCAAATTACTCGTAAAAGTTAACAACGGTTAAGGTGAATTTTTGAACCTACTTGATTTTTCAGGATATTCGCTTTGGTTGCTCCTTAGAAAGCTTGAATCCTGTAGTTATTATACGTGTTCAGCTTCCCAAATGAGTGACTTTGAAAGAAGTTATGATCATTTGAAGGTCAAAAAGTCGCTTTGCACAGAAAAAAGTAACAACGTACTAAATTTTTATTAAATTAACTTTCGAAGAATTTTTACCTATGGTTGGAGAGAAATAATTTGAATTTTCCAAATCAAATCACTTTCGGCGCTAAAGCTCAAATATATGAAGGAAGTTATAGCCTTAGAAAGAGTGGTGTAAAATTGTGTTGCAATTGATGTAGTTTACGTGAAGTTGCTATTTAATTGGAGCGATAATTTTTTCTGACTTCTTATAAGTTTTTATCAGGTAATGTTGTCAATATTACGGTCACTGGTTCAGCTTATTTCATCTCCTAGTTTGGTAACCCTTTGGAGTACACGGATATCTTTGAATGCATCTCATTTTTTCGTGTTTGCAAGCAGCGATGAATTTCTGTCGTGGATTTTGCTAAAGTTTCATCTTTAATGACTTACGTAGAAATAAATATTGATGGTAAACACTGTCTCTACACAAGTGTTACATACAAGGGGGTTATCAAATCAAACCACCCCTGAAGGGGGTCGTAAAAAATTTCCGAAGAGTAACAACGATAGGGTTGACCCTG